TTAGCATTTATAATTAGGCTCAGGGACTTGAGGGTAAATTTTTTTAGATGGGTGAGTTAGTAAATAGGTAAGCTTTTAATAGAGTAAGTGATTACCATATCAGCATTTACTCTGTATTTAGCTTTTTGTAGTTGGTTGTCTAGGGTAGTCTAAAGGCTTTTAGTATAAGTGGTCAGCCTCATTATAGGTTTGGAGGTGAGGCATCCTTGAGCTTATTACAGAATAAGTAGTTTTAATATCTTCGCTCTACACAGTGAGTCTGAAGCTTGTTACATTCACTCTTTTTTTAACTTTTTTTGTGTTGAGCTTAAACCCAGGGGCTCACCCATACTAGGGAAGTGGTTTACCACTGAGTGACACCCCTAGCCCCCTGCTTTGTACAAATTTTATCAATAGGTAGACCTGTTTCTCTCCTTTTTGGTTTCCTGAGTTCATTTTTCTACTCTGAATACATCCAGTGGAGCCTGCAAAAAAACTATTGGTTCATAAAATAACATAATTATTAACAATATGTCTCAGAGAAAAAAAAATCCTAGGTTTGATTTAGGCCTCAAATTCTTCCTAGCTCCGCAACCAGGGCAAAGATGTTTAATGACTCTGAGACTGTTATATTTTTATCTGTGTTAGGACTAAATGTGATAATGCATTAAATAAATTCATAAGGCAGAACAGTACTTGGCACAGAGTGCCATGTGTGTTAGCTATTATCATTTTCTGTATTTGAAAATCTGGTATGCCATCAGATTTGAAATATTTTGCTCCACTGAATTGTTTTTGTTTTGTTTTGCACCTTTCATGATTTTAAGTTTCGTGAGGGTAGGATCTGATCTGTTTTGTTCATTATAGTATTGAACAATAGTTATAGTAAGAACTATAGCTTATTAGAGAGAAGGAACGATGAATCAATAGTTCCTTATTGTATCCCATAACTGATCCTGTCTGTGCAGTAAGTCCAGTGAGATCTTGCTCACATCTTGCATAGGACTAGAATAGAGTACTGGTTTATGAAGTAAATATTTGTAAAATGAATTAATGATGAATGTTTCATTTTTATGGAAGTTGTAGTTGACTATATAATGAAGTGGGCTCCATTATGTTACTGAAACAAATTTATAACAAAACTTGCAATAACTTCCGAGTTCTTACAACCTAAAAATCAAGTTTCTTAGTTTTACATTAAAAAGAAAACCTATGGAGTTTTATCGTACTCAGGTTTTTTTCTGTCTTTCATCTCAAGTGTATAATTCTGACTTGTGAATTCATGGAATTGTTGTGCTGGCCAGTTCATGGCACAGTATTCTTGAAAGCACTTTAGAAATGATATTTCATTCCTCATAGCTATCTTATTATTAGTACATGCTTATGATACATGATAGTTACATTAGTTTGGGTAGACATATTATATGTATAATTCCTTGATCATTATTTTCAGAGTTATTTATAATAACCCTCAAGTGTTTTTAAGCAAATTTTGCTTCTGCATTTGCCAGACCTTGTTCAAATTCCTATCTCCTGTGTAAAGCATGACTTCCTAGTCTGAAATGAGCACTGTTTTCTTTGAACATTGATAGTCATTTTTTTTCATAGCTCATTTGCTAAATGTATCTGAATTGTCTCATCTTGGTTGTTATCTTATCTAGGATCTTGAGATGTTTAATGTTAAGTGAAGTCAATAAACATTTATTAAATACCCATATGGACCTAATCTCTGCATAAAGTTTTCATGTACTCCAGTTTTCACAACTGGATTGTAAGATACTTTAAGGAAAAGATGAATATGTAATTGTGGGTTTCATGAATGAATCATTTACGTAATAAAATGTGACCAGGTGATTAGTTGACATATTATGAATGCTAAGAATTAGTTTAAAGTGTCATTTTCATTTTTAGAACCAGTCTAGCACTTGTCTATGATAGCTGAATCCATATATCTCTCTTTTCTTTAGTTTGTTTTGATGTATTTTGACTTATTTCTGGTTTATTTCTCTTCCATCAACATAGAAATACTATCTTTTTACAGTTCTCTTGTCTTTTAACATTATCTAACTCATACCTAATTTGACAGCCACATTTTAAAAGTGACTCATCACTTTTGGTGTATCTTGCCAAAGTATCCAATATAATTTTTAGTGAAAGGGCAGCTCTCTTGTAAGTGGTTTGCATACTATTTAATTGAAAACTGATTATTACAAGAGAAATTGATAGTTTTGAGAAGAAATGCAAATGGCTTTTGGATGCTAAGCTTACAGCTCAATTTAAGGGAGAGAAAGTGTGAAGTTAGACTGAGATACCTGTTAGCCAAAAATCCTGCTTCTGTTGGCATCATCCAGTCTTTTTACCGAGGTGATTGGAGGTTGGTAACAGTTATGTCAGGTCTGTTAGGAGACCTGCTGGAGACCAATATGGCTTGAGTGCACAGTAGAAATGGGCTTTTGTAATTCATTTTGTACTTTTCAAAAGGTCCATTTTCCATGAATAACATGCATTTTTACGATCTAACAGAACATAACTGTTACTCAGAGTGCCTGAAGAAAATCAGTGTTCAACTAAGATCTCTGTGTAGCTTTTCTCCACATAGAGGTACCCCCTTCTCACCATCCATACCTCTTCTTGGCATGTGAAGCACTCTGCATATTCCTTTTTTTTTTTTTTTAGCATTTCTCATGTGGAGTTAATTAACCTGTTTTTCTTTTCTCTAAGCATTTCCTTCTTAGAGCTTTTGTACATGATGTCTGATCCGTGGTGGGCTTAGCCCAAGAAATTCAATGGAAGAGAATTTCTTGAATAGATTTCATAATCCAATCTTGCTGAGCTGTAGTTTTCATTGATGAGGCCTAGAAAAATAAGCTGTCATCTCTAAGTTCAGTCTAGGAAATATTTTAGTATATTTAGACTCAGTTGAATATATTCCATATATGTAAGGTACCGTGCTGTGTCTGCAAAGTCCTGAGTCGGTTCATGTGGATGTGTGTATTATTACTATAGTGGGACTATTTGAGGAGAGGAGATTAAAGCCTAGAGAAACTCAAGAGGTTTTGACAGTGGATGGATCTGAACTGGACTGGGAATGGTAACATCTAGTCTGTTTTTTTTTTAAACAGATATTTTCTGCTTTCTGGCATTTGGTAGTCTAGATTTCCCTAAAATTCCTTTCCTTTTTGTCACACATGCCTTGTCTTCTCACTTGGTTTCGAGCTCCTTCCCTAGCAGTATCTTTGTTTTCTTTAACAATCTGCCTTTGGCTATCTTCCTCTGTCAGGGCGGAATGCTTTATTATTTTAACCCTAACCCTGTGCTTCTAGAAATATCCTTTCTCACTCTGCATATCCACAATACTTCATCACTTCACTCTTATAGCACTTTATATATTCATAACATATCCTTTAACTGGACTGTAACTTCTTGATTGACTTTGTGGTTTATTGTAAACCCAAATATCGAGTTTAGTCATCTGAGTATTATAATCCTCCTTCTAGTTTTCCTTACAATCCAAAAAGTTGCATTTGTAATCCCATTGAGATGTTATTGGAATCCTAGCGAGTTAATTCTAATCTACCACCACCAATCCAACCCACTGAGAGAATAGAGACACCATGATATGTTCCAATTTAAGGGCTAGCCAAGGGGTCCTAAGTCCAATCCTCATGAGGACTTGCTGACAAAGGCCTGGATCCTAGGCCTCTCCCAGCATTTATTATCTTGTGAAGAAAGGGGGATGGCTCAGGGATGAGTGATAGTGAGGATGTCCAGGATTAATGAGTAACATGAGCTGGTCAGCCAGGTGCAAGAATGGCATCTCTGTAATTTGCAGAGATAAAGATATGCAGAAGGATCAATTTATATAACCCAATTAAGGTAGCAGTGGATTGTTTTGGGGGGCTATTGCTTTGGTTTCTGATATGCAAACTCTTGTGCCCCGGGGAGTCATAGCCTCTTATCTTTTTTTTTTTTTTTTTGTCTTTTTTGAGACAAGGTCTCAAGCTATGCAGTTCAGGCTGGCCTTGAGCTCACTTTGTAGCCCAGGCTGGTCTCAAACTCGCAAGGATCCTCTGCCTCAGCCTCCTGAGTGCTGGGATTACAGGCATGAGCCACCATGCCTGGATCATAGCCTCTTATCTTGAAGCTCTACCCAGTTGATATTCCTGAAGCTATTTGCTCTAATACCTCCCGTGCTCAATCCTGTATTGTGGAGAGCACTATGTAAGGAAACAGGACTGTCCTATGGCTATAGATTTTGCACATTAGCATTTTGGCTAGCCTTATTTGCAATGCTCAGAGCCAATTGAAGAGAGAAGGAAATACCCTAGCCAGCCTTTTACATATCAGTATAAGGAAATGAGTCTCCAAGTAATCAAAGTCACAGCAATTGTTTTGAGTTCAAAGGGAGTCACTGGAGTTGTCTCCCACAGTGGTTCTTAAAACATCTGGTATATCATTTTCTAAGTAGTAGGTGCTATATACCATTTTCTTAAATTTAGCTTTATTCCCCAAATTTGACCCCTCTTCCACACTTTCCTTTTTTCTGTTCATTTGCTTGGATTTTCTCGTGAATTCCACATTTGGTCAGCAAATTCTGTTGCTTCTGTATTCATTTTTTTGAACTGGATGTGGTGGCACATGCGTGTGATTCCAGGACTCTGGGAAGCTGAGACAAGGAGGCTCAAAAGTTTAAGCCTTATGTAGGCAACTTAGTGAGAACCTGTCTCAAAATCAAAAAGGAGCTGAGAATGTAGATCAGTTTGAAGGCTGTGGGTTCAATCCCCAGTACCAGTAAAATAAAAAAGGAGAAAGATTTTTAACTACTTGATTTTTTCATCATTGCATGCCAATTAAAAACCCAAATGTTTAGTGCATATTGTGTTCTAAGCACTCTGTAGGTGCTGGGAATACAAATTTTCAGATCCAGCCCCTTGTTCTTAGAATATTAGTGGGGGAGAGAGAGATACTTACTTTATTAAGCAGATGATTGTTAACTGTCTTCTCTGTGCTGACTGTTGCAGGCATGGACATCTTGTAGTTGAGAGTCCTTTTCCATGAGCTGCTAATCTTAAAGGAGAAGAAGCCTAGAAGATACAACTATTGGATTTCCTCTGTTCTAAGGTGAATTTTCCTTTCCATATTATAGCATTTCTGAAATTCAGAAGTCTAAACCCTTGCGTGTATGTTTAATGGAGTTTTAAAAAAAATTCCCTTTATTAAACTATTAAACTATTAAAACTATTAAACTATTAAATAGTTCATGCTAACAGCAAGTAGAACCTCATAAATAGAAAACTATACTTATCAATGACAAGTATTGTGACAATGTACAGAATTACACTGTCATATGGTAGCTACTAGCTATGTGTGGTTACTTAAATATAAATAAATTAATTAGTTATTGCATTTAAGCTCAAACTACTTAAAAGATTCAGCCCTGCAGTTTCACTAGGCACAATTCATGTATTTAAGTTTCTGTTGGATAGTGCAGATATAAAACTTCAGCATGATTGCAGAATGTTCTAGTAGCCATGGTCTAGGCTGTATTTCCATAGTTGTGTCTGGAGGGTTTGAAAAGCTTTAGTTATTTTCTGGCATTATTATGACATGTATTTCTTCTTTCAAGGTTGGGGGATGGCATTCAGGGAACTTATTTTCACTTTTACCAGGGCATGAGAGAGTAAATAGTAGATACTCAGACAAAAACAACCGGAGTGTTAAAAAGTTTGGATACAAAGAGGGAAGCTCCATATTTTCATAAAAGAGATAGCTAGCCTTTTAAAAAAGAGATTTTCTTGCATCAAAAATTTAAGAACTTTTACCTAAATTCATATCATTTTATCAATGGAATTGAGGGAGGCCCATTATGTTAGAAGGCCATGGTTTAACAGGACACCACAATTAAGATTTTCAAATTGGACTCTTTCGAGATAGTCAAAACTACATGTAATTTCTCAGGTGAGATAAAGTTGGACATAATAGATAGAAATACTTACATGAACCATTTACTTCTAATGGATTTTTTTCTCAGTGAGTGTGGTTTGAAATGGAATGTAGAGCAAAGTTTCCTAACTCTTTTTCTTGTTTCTATTTTATTGTGTGGTAAAATATAATTTATCTATTTTCTTTTGTTTGTATTTTTTATCTATTTTTTGGGGGGTAATAGGGACCGAACTCACAACTTTGTGCTTACCAGGCAAGCACTTGAACCACTGAATTAAATCTCCAGTCCTTTATCCATTTTCTTATTAATGATTACCTAGTTTCTTATTTTTGTACAAAAACTAATAAAATATTAATGTTTCTATGCAAGTTTTTGGGTGGGTACATGCTTCCATTTCTCTTGAGTATACTGGATAAGGGGGAAGTTGTTAGCCATAGCATGAGTACATAATGCCAGTCAGTTTTATGTTACGTTGCTTTTTTTTGATGCCACAAAATGTTGGAAGTTTGTCATGTATGCATTTTTAACTGTCTGAGCAGTTATTTCCTTCAAGCTTGTTTTAAGTCATTAATCACTATAGTGTCACAGACATTTGGGGTCACTAACAAGTAAATATGAAAATGGCACAGTAATGCAAAGTAATATCACTCAAATGGCCTTAAAGAGTAGAGAAAATATTGGATTGTATTCTCTCCCTTCACCAGGCAGTTTTAATTGACATGTAAGACAATGGTCTTTGAAGAAGCTTGTTCCTGTTTTTGTAAATTGATTGTATTATGTGCTGGGTCCTGTTGCTTTATGCCATGGGCATTAGTGTATTTTTCCTGTCACTGATATCACTAGCAAGTATAGTGCTTGGGATTAAATCCAGGGGCTCGAATATGCTAGGTAAGTGGCATTACTACTGAGTAAACCCCCAGGTCCTTGTAAAAATTTAATTCGACCTAGTTCAGCATATTAAGTAGACAGGTTTGGAGCTGAGTTCCTAGTATTTTCAGAGTTCTTTCCCAGCTACTTCCATGCTTAAAGACCAGTAATATTGTGTCCCCTGAGCTCAAAATCTTGATCTAATGGGGATAGAGCACACATAGTAATATATGACCAACTATAATTGTCACTAGACTTGCAAATAAAGTACCTTGGGGGTAGTGTATCACATCACATGTAATTTGGGTTGCAGAAAAGGGGCTGGTATCCCTGTAAAGCTCCGCAGGACAAGGACAGGGTATGAGGTTAATTTTGGAAGCATTTTGATTATGGTTATGATTGAGTCATGAAACAGGAAAATTTACCAAGTGGTTTTCAGAATGTGTTCTTCAGAGCAGTACAAGCATCTCCTGGAAACCTGTTAGAAATACAGATTATTGGGCCCTACTTTAAACCTACTAATCCCCAAATTCTGGGAAATCCCAGAAAGCTGTATTTTAATAAGCCTTCCTGGTAACTGGGATGTGCTAAAATTTGAGAGCCTTGATTATTTGGCCAGAGAATAGTAAATTACCCTTGGTTGGAGATTAAGGATTGAGGAATGATTAAGAGAACAGAAAGACACAGACCTACTGCAGAGACCTGAAGTAGTCGGGTAAATTAGGAGTAGAGGAGCCTTGGGAATTAAAAGGAGCCTTCAGCTGAGCTGCAGCATGGCTGCAATGGGTCAGTCTGAAGATGCTGGTGCAGTGTCAAAAAAGAGGGAACTTGCAGCCTCAGAAGCAGCTGAGGTGTTGATCCTAGGGATTAGAGGAGGATGGGGATAAGGGCCTACAGTAGCCTGGTTGGTAGATGCCACATGGTTTGGAAAGTGGGATGGGCAAAGAGTATGTTTTCTACAAGACCCTCTTCCCCCATACAAGCTTAGTGTAGGAAATTTGGACACTCAAGGGAAGGTGAAAGTACCTCAAATTCCATTTTCCAGAGATGAACAAAACACTTTTCTATTTAAATATTTATAACTATATCTTTGTTTAAATTCAGTTTTGGATAAAATTCTGCAACTAAATTTCATTAGACAAATGTTCTTGAACACGTCAGTGTTCCATACACAAAAGAGTATATGCAGGTCAGTGTGCGCTCAGAAATTGATGGATTTTATGTTTGGGAAACAGAATGTTTATACAAGCAGCTAATTGGCAAAGATTGCAATTTCATTTTGCATGATCATAAAAACATCCTGTCTACATCAGTTTTACAGAGGCAGTCTAGGGCAAGGCAGTCTGCGATACCTGAAATGCCAATTGTTGGTTTGGGGAAAAGAACTCAAGTATAGTTAAGAAAAAGATGAAGCACTGTGGCTTTTATTACAATGACAATGTTATTCTAGTGGCCAATTAATATTGAACATAAAACAGTGTCATCATGTAGGTTAATGCCAATTTTTAAAGCTTACCTTTTAAATAGGTAGCTGGCTACTAGTGAATTTCTTTTTCTTTTTTGTGTTTCTTTGTTGAGACAGGGTGTTACTGTGCAAGTCAGGCTGGTCTCCAATTTGCAACAATCCTCCTGCCTCCCATGTGCTGGGATTATAGAAGTATACAACCATGCCCAGTTGTGAATTTCTTAAACAAGGAAATATGGAACAGTTTGGCCATAACATAGTTTTTTGGAAGATTTTTGTTTGTTGACACAATATACCATTTCTGTAGCATAATTTTTCCTTTAGGATATTATACCTATCCTTCAATGTCAGTATATATAGCACTTTGTATTAACAGCATTTTGTGACATTATTGACTTTATAAATTGTACACTGATTAATAATGACTAGTGGTGAACTTGGACATGTTTTCATAAGTTTAAAAAGAAAAATTGTATTTCTCTTGTGAAAAGCTTATTACTATATTCTTTGCTTATTTTTTCTTAGGTTGTTTAAGTTGTTTAAGTGTACTGTTTTGAAAGATGCTAATATATTAAAAATATTCAACCTTCCTTTAGAACATTTTGCAAATCCATCACTCATTGACTTTATAAATTTCTTTGTAGTGAAGCATGACAAATAATAAGGTATATTTAAGAATCAGCGGATCCAACACTAATGTTACCTGACCCAGATGAAGATATAAATGTTGGGAAACTGCAGTGATGTACCAAAGACTGGGGGTGATGAGTGAGGTCAGTGTCAGGTTCAGACAGTAAAGAATGCATTTTCTATGCAGAATTTAAAATCAATAAAATTATTGACTAAAAACTGGTCTGCTTTTTATTGTCAACATATGTAGGCCATTTAAGAGATGTCAGAATGTGTATAGTATCTACTCAGTAGCTTATATATTCACTGTCTTTTTGACAAATAGTGGCTCTTAATTTTAATATATTCCAGTTTATCTGTATTTTGTGTTATGGTTGTGCCTGCTATCTCCACAAATAACTGTTCTTCTGTATTATTTTTCAGGGGCTTCATTTTTATTTACTTTTACATTTGGGTCTATAATCCACCTAAAATTAATATTTATATATCATGTGACTTGACGGTTTTTAAATATTATTTTCTCTTATGGATAAAAAGATGTGATCTGTAATGCCAGCCTTGTTTTTTTCTATAAAGCATCCATTTCATGTATGATCTATTTCTGGGCTTTCTGTTCTCTTATTTACTTTTTTAGTGTAGTGGTTCATGACTGATATTATACTGTGTATCCTGATAATCTAGAGAGAAGTCTTTCTTCTGTTCTTTTTCCAGTGTGTCTTGTTTGCCTTGATCGTTTGACTTAATGAATACATTTTCAAATCAGTCTGTAAATTTACTCCAAGAATCTTGTTAGGATTGATTGGGATTTTATTGAGTCTATACATCACTTGAATATAATTGACATCTTTTTTTTTTTTTTTTTTTTTTTTTTTTTTTTTTTTTTTTTTTTTTTTTTTTTATTTAAGAGGAAAAAGAGAAAAACACAAAACAAGACAAAGCAGTGTAAGGTTACACATAATACAGAACTACAAAAAAAAAAAATAAACATAATAGTAAGAAATCACCTGTTAATAGATTACATAATATCATCTTGGAAATAGTTGCTCAAATCACAGTATCAAAGAATACAAAGTAGACATTCAAACGGAGAGACTGCAAACAGCTGTGTTCAATGATCCAAAAACATTAATATAGTCAGCTATTTAACATCCCTAAACACACTTGTTGTTATATCCGTTAGAGCTCTTTTTTTTTTTTCCCTCCCTCTCTTTTTTA